TTTGAGCCCCTCAGGGCGGCAACTCTGCACCACCTCACTCTCAAGACTGCCTTTCTGGTGGCCATAACATCAGCACGGAGGGTGTCAGAGTTGGCGGCCCTCTCCATCCGGGCCGACCTGTGTGTCTTCCACCCAGACCATGTGGTTTTCCGCATTGATCCCACCTTTGTTCCGAAGGTGAATTCAGCATTCCATCGTTCTCTGGATCTCACCCTTCCAAATTTCTGCCGGCTCCATCTCACAGTCTGGAGCACAAATGGCACAAACTAGACGTCAGGTGTGCCCTTAAAACTTACATCGCCAAGACGGCTGCCTTCAGACGCAGCGAAGCCCTTTTTGTCTCCTTTCATCCGACCAAGAAGGGCCTAAAAGCTTCTCCTTCCATGATTGTACGTTGGATCAGATCAGCCATTCGCAAACTTACATCGTGCATCATCTCCCTCCTCCTCCCAACATTATGACTCATTCTACGCGCAGCGCAGCCACATCAGCGGCATAGGCGCGACAGGCCTCAGTGGAGGAGATCTGTAAGGCAGCGACCTGAGCTACCCTTAATTCCTTTATCAGACATTACAAGATAGATAGGTATGCATCGGCTGCTGCAGCTTTCAGGCAGCGAGTGCTCCAGCAGGTCCTTCTGTCCTCCAGCTCCTAGGCCAGTCTCATGCCCTTCTGGGGACATGCCAGCTCTGGTACGTCCCATGCCTGACCGCTGTCTCCACCAACTTAGGAGAATGGGGCGTTGGTTCTTACCTGATACACCCCTTCTCTGGGCAGGTGGAGACAGTGGTCATCCCCACCCTAGTATTCTGGCCTACCTCGCACGGGTGTACAGTGAGCATTTTTGGTTGAGTCTGGAGAGAAAGCAATTGGTCACACACAGCAGACTACTAATCTCAATCAGGAAAAGCGGGAGCATGCTCCGCAGAGCCGATGAAATCACTTTGGTAGACTCAGTTCTATTGGTTACTGACTGAGTTGACCGCTGTCTCCACCTGCCCAGAGAAGGGGCGTATCAGGTAAGAACCAACGCCCCATTTTCATGTCATTTTAAGCCTTAAGCATGGTCTATACCCATACAATAAGCCAAAAGCAAACAGTAGCTGAGTAGTTCTCTCTAATTCCTGTCTTGCTTTGTAGAGGGAGGAAAAATATTTGTGCAGCTTTTCCAAAACGGAGTACAAATTATAAATATACAAATAAATTGCAAATACCTGTAATAGCAGCAAGTTAAAATAGTCACATTATGGATTATAGAAACAAAGTAAGAGTATGTCACATACATACTTAAAAGTTGGGCCTTGAAATTGTTCATCCCTGCTGGCAACTGCCCCCTGCAGTTTTCATGGCAACATTTTGAGAAGTGGCTGAGAGAGAGGGATCCACCTAAAGCAGGACTAGCATACAGTGTAGCCTAACACTGTAAATACTACACCCAACTGGCTCTACACATACATTTTATGGATTATAAAATGTCACTGCTAACTAGAATCAACAATGCTCGGAAGCTTCAGCGGTGTTCATCCCCATTTCAAAGCCAAAGAGCCATCTCCGTGGTCATGTGGCCAGCATGACTAAACACTGAAGGTTCATGGAACGCTGTTACCTTCCCACCAAACATGTTTCCTATTTTTGTACTTGCATTTTTACATGCTTTCGAACTGCTAGGTTGGCAGAAGCTGGGACAAGTAACGGGAGCTCACTCTGTTATGTGGCACTAGGAATTCGAACCACTGAACTGCTGACCTTTCTGATCAACAAGCTCAGCATCTTAGACACTGCGCCACCACGTCCCTCTTTTTACTTGTTAGCCTCGTACAGTTGTCAAGGCGCT